TCTCTCTCTCTCTCTCTCTCTCTCTCTCTCTCTCTCTCTCTCTCTCTCTCTCTCTCTCACACACACACACACACACACACACACACACACAGAGCTATCGCAAAATCTGGGCAATCCTTGTCAATCGGTTAAATGCATCCTGGGCAGACTGTCGGGGTTCCCCCCCCCCCTGATGAGTCCTCAGGAAGTGAAAGTCCGACGAAACAGTCTGGCATAGGAATACTTCTTTCAGGGAGTTGTGTATAGCGAACAGGGCAATACACACACCTAAAAAGAAGCACACGCACGCACAGACACATTAGGACGATGGAGAGAGGGGTCGTTGGCACGGTCACTCGTCAAACAAAGAACCCCTAAAATTACAGAGGAAACGTACACGAGGACGTTTTTGGACTGCGCTCTGGACGTAATGTGCGGTCAGATACATCCAGGTCAAGGCGGAAATAAGGCCAGGTGCATGCAGGAAGTCTAGTGTGAGTATACCCTGAAACCCCTTTCCCACCCCTCTCTCTCCCATATACCCTTCATTTGCTGAGCAAAGGCACTTCTTTTTTTTTTGTTGTTGTTTCCAAAACACAATGCATCATTCCGGCGCGTAAGACCCCATTCCAACCCCTCCCTCTCCAAAGAGATGTTGAGCCCGGGGGCGAGGCCCCACTAGCAACGAGAGTAGGATTAAGCGCCTGAATCTGGACGTGTTTGTGGACAGGTGCAGAGAACCGCGATTGATCTGCTTCTCTGCATCTCTCCACAAAACACATCCAGATTCAGGCGCGTAATCCGATCGTCTTTGCTAGTGAGGGCTCGTCCCGGGGTCCTCACAGTTTTTTCTTTTTTTTTCCACACAGTTTATCAGCCAAGGCGGGCCAGGACAAACGACCGGAATCATCAAAATGTGCGGAGGTAGGGCCTTTCCTCCACTACTCAACGTTCGACATGTATCTGGAATCCAAAATGGACCAGATACATTCTAACCGATCCAGCATTATGAGTGTATCGGGACAATTACCAGCTCCAGATACATTACGAATGTTGCATAATTGAGAGTCACCCGTACTCAGCTCTTCTGGAAGCTATCCGATATCTGCTCTTTCAACCTTCCATGGCCATCGCTCCACTTACACAACATTCCAAATGTATCTGCTTCTGGTATGCGTCCTGATACATTGAAAAAAAATGGTTCGCCAGTCCGAGTGTATCTGGATAACAATACAGTTAGATACATTCAGCATTTTGTGTAGTGGAGCGAAGCCCTATCTATCGTCCGTGTTCAATCCATTCTTTCAACATTCGCCTTCTCTCCCATCTGACCCTCTCTCTCCCATTCGAGCCTCGCTCCACCGCACAACATCCAAAATGCACCTGGACTGCAACGTTATCCACATACATTCGCACCTACTACACATTTAAATGTATCGTGACCAAGTGGAGATCCAGATGCATTTAGCATGCTGAGTAGTAGAGCAAGGCCCTTTGTCTTTTGTCTATCGCTTTTTTTTTTTCCCCCTGCTTTCTTCCCGTTCCTTCGTCTCCGTCCGTTTTTCCGTTATCCTTTCACTGTTCCTTCCCTTATCCTTCCGTTACGCTTCCGTTATCCTTCCCTTATCCTTCCGTCATGCTTCCGTTATGGATCGTAAACACTGAAGGAAGCACTCTGATTGAAAAAAAAAAAAAAAAAAAAAAAAAAAAAAGAGCAAGCGGAAATGAATGTGCTAACCGTCTTCCCTCGAACACAACGCACCCTCATTTTGACTGTATCGGACTTGAAAGATATAGCTAGTATAAAACTACATTACCAGGGTGCGTTATGTTCGGGGGAAGACGGTAGTAGCGGCGGACGGAAAATCGGAAAAAAAAAATAAGGAAGAAAAATAAGAAAAAAAAAAAAAACAAGCGCGAGAGAAATAAATGTTATTCCACCGTCCCTTCCGTTTTCTTCCGTTTTCTTCCGTTATGGACGGAAGGAACACTCAAGAAACAACTGTAGGGAAGACAGAAGATGTCTTGGCGGCGGGGGGGAGTGAGGGGAGGGGGGAGGGGCGGGGGGAAGTCCTGGCCCTTACAAGAACAAGAAAAAGAGCAACGACAACAAAAGAACCGGTGTTGAGCGAACGATACAGAAAAGGAAGATTAACAAATGGCCCCTCCACTGGGATGAGACACGCATAAATCGAGAAATGGTCGAAATTCCAAAAAAAAAAAAAAAAAAAAAATCAAACAAGAACAAAAGACGGGTGCTGTTTTCCTTAATTACCTGGGGCCGGTCACTTCAACGATGCTATCTCAAGGTCGACCGTCAAAAAAAAAAAAAAAAAAAAAACAGGTCGACCATCGCCCTTTAGTGCCTAGTAGCTCAGTTGGTAGGCCAATATTACATACAAACTGTTGACGCACCGACCCAAGTTTAAATCCTGATGCAATCAGATCTGGACAGAACAAACTAATCTTGAATTACCTGCGGCCGGTCAGTTCAACGATGCGATCTCACGGCCCGTCGCCCTCCATTATTAAAAAAAAAAAAAAAAAAAAAAGGAGGAGAGAAACGAGAAGAAGGATGAACGGCCAGTGTTAGACCGACCTGCATGAACGGCTATGGTTCCCTGGCTTCGTCTCCGGTTCGCCGCGGTGAAGTAATCCCTCTGATAATCGATGCCACCACCACCACCACCACCACCACTAGAGCGAACACTCGAGTCGACAACGTCGTTGGGCTCTTCGTTCAAATTGAGCTTCCCTCCACCGAGAGGCTCCCCTACCACCTCCACTTCCCCAACCACCACTCCGCTCTCAATGCACTCCACATCTGTAACTACGGAGTCTGCTGCGGACGGCGATGCTGCTGCTGCTGCCGCCCCGACCCCGACTATACCACCATCGCCGGCTGGCCAAGATTCGTCTCCCCGAGCTCGCCACCATCTCGAGACAGCTTGCGGCGATGGCGGCGAGGAAGAAGATGATGCCGAAGACCACGACCAATAACAAGAAGAAGCAGAAGCAGAAGAAGAAAAAGAAGAAGACAAAGAAGGCGAAGAAGACGAAGAAGGAGAGGAAGACGATGATTCAAACGATGTGTTCCTCTTCCATAGCCTGCCTACTTTTCCTGCTTGAGATGTCAACGACGATGTCCAGGAAAATGACGAGGAAGATGATGGCGATGGCAATGGCGAGGAAGACGACAAAGGAGGAGAGAAGAATGACGGCGATGGTGGGACCGACAGTCGCTTCCTCTCCTTTATACTGGAGCTCGAGTTGTAATAAACTGGACCGCACACAGACCACCTCCCTCTCCCAACCTTCTTTAGGTACAGTTGGTTGCCGCCGTCGTTTCGCGCCTTTTCCTGTCGTTGAAATTTCGACGAGTTCTCATTTCCCGCCAATTCTGTCCCCGATGCACCACCACACCTAAAGACACACGCGGTAGAAATTCCCGCCATTGCCATGACTGGGATCTACCGACCTCCCCCGCCTCCCCGCTTCTTCCCCCCTTTCCCGTCGCTGACCTGAAAACCCCACCCCCCTCTTCAAGGGGGGGTGCTTTACTTCTCGTTTCTCCTTTCCCGCCCCTCTCTACTTCCCCTCCTTCCTTTCTCTCCTCCTCCCACCCCTCCCTCCTTCCCTCCTGCCCTTCCCCTCTCTCCTCCCGCTCTTCCTCTCCTTACCCGCCGCCCCGCCAATTCTTCCTCGCCGGCCTTGCCACTAAAACCCCGCCCACCTATTCAAAGTCGCTCAACAATTGAACGACCAACGACGCGCTCCCGCCAAATCCTTCCTCCTATATACTTGTAATACTTTACTATATAACTATATACTATAATTTATGTTTGTGTCTTTCAATTTGTGAAGAGATAACAGCATTTTCTCCTCGATGCCGTCCGACCGCACGTAAAAAGTCTGCATCTTCCACAATTACAAAACAAAAATATTTTATACGCCATTCATCTTCCAGGAGGGGGGAGGGGCCGTTCTTTTCCCCGTGACCCGTCGACCGGGTACCTTCTGTGAGCGGGAAAAGGAAAAACAACAACTATGGAGGCACCGAGGGAGACGAAGAAGAGAGAAATGCGAGAGAGAGAGAGAGAGAGAGAGAGAGAGAGAGAGAGAGAGAGAGCGTGAGAGAGAGAGAGCGAGAGAGAGGGAGAGGGAGAGGAGATGGCGAAGTCCGCCGCGGTCTCCGACCAACCGTTAAAAAAAAAAAAAAAAAAAAAAAAAAAAAACGATTACGATGGGGGGGGCGCCTCCCCCGTCAACGGGCGCCTCCCCCGCATTCCCCCTTCCYCCCCCGCCCGCCTCCGCACCCCAACMCCCCCCCCCTCTCTCCTTCCCTCCTCAAGCCACGAACCTATTCGTCCTCTCGCTGGCTGCTCCCAACTACTCCCGTCTCACTGCGATATCTCAGATTGGCCGATCCCGACCGATCACATATGCATATAACTGCCGATCGACATCTCAATCACTCAAAACTGACTGAAAAAGAAAAAAAAGAAAAAAAAGAAACAACCAAAAAAAAAGGAAAAACAGAAACAAAAATAGAATCGAGACACATCTCCAATTATTATTCACCCGCCGGCCGCGCACTGCGGTCCCGCCGCTGCCACAAAAAAAACAACAACACAACAATGGACCAACTGCACAGAATGGAGCATGTATATATCCGCTAAATCCCGGACAGATACACACTATCCGAGCCCTTTGTCGTTTCTGTAAGCTTCGGTGAGTGGCGCGGCTACGCCCAACGACGCGCCAAATGAGAGCAATGGCCGCGCCAAACAAACGAAAAAAGGTAAAAAAAGGTAAAAAAAAGGAAAAAAAAGGGTTACCAGTGCATCTTCCCGCGGAAAGTGGCAATTTTTGACATTCCCAACTATTCAAACTGATGCATCTTTCCACGTTGTGACGGAAGATTCACGCACAATTTTTCCAGTTTCGCGAGTGATGTGGCTAATACCCAAACCACCCCGTCTTTCCTTCCTATTCCGTCGCTTCTTATTTTTTATTTTTTATTTTACCCTCCCTGCCTTCTTCGTTCCTTTTCCATCCGTTTTCTTCGTCCACCAGATCTGAGGCTGACGTCCTTTTACCCTCCCTGCCTTCTTCGTTCCTTTTCCATCCGTTTTCTTCGTCCACCAGATCTGAGGCTGACGTCGTCCAGTCCTTTTGTCCCATTCGGCAGTCATTCCACCTCAGAGCGTACTCCCAAGAGCACTTTCCTTGACGTGCCTGACCGCAAATAAGGCCACGTGCAGATGTATCTAACCACAATGTCGCCCGGAAGCCAGGTCGAAAAGAACAAAGGCTTTCTTGTGAAAATGATAGGTCGAGGTGGTGGCGTAGAGCAGTTGGCTAGGCAAGGAGGTGGTATTTAGGAGGTTGTGCGTTCAATCCCTACTAATTACTAAAAGCTCTCTTTGAGCTAACGAACTAAAATTTGTAATATAGAATGATACCATTCCACCCTCTACTGCGACATGAGCCTTTTTCAAGCTTGCTGTTCTACCAGCTAGAGATAACCCGTTGGCTCTCCAAGCCAGCATTGGCAGGACCTCGGCCAAATATTGTTGGTTGCTATACAGCAATGATATTCGCCATTAGACACCACTAATGTGGGCCAGTGACTGGCCAAAGATGCTCGGCACTAGCATCGCCGGTTTGCCCCGTCGGCAATGCCTGATCACCCTGCATCATCGTGATGAGGGGCTGATACAAGCCTTGCTCTCGCGCCACTGCTGTGGTGCAAACCTAAGCTGGGGGCTGGGGAGAGTTCCAGGTTCGGTTGGTATTTCCCCGTAGGGCCCGTGCTATACGTAGAGTAGCGAGAGGATGAGATAGAATATATACAAAAAGAAGATTCAGAGAAGCATAAAGATTACTTAAAAAAAAAAAAAAAAGACAGCATTATTCACACTTAGGAGATGCTCAGTCAGCCCCCAGTCGAAACCGGTCGGGTCAAACCACGGTTTGATTGACTTGGCATGTTCAAGTTTATTTTTCGAGTCAGTCGCGTTCGGGAGTTTTATCACGGTTACTTTAATCTTGTGTGTACTTTGGATTCTTTCTCATCCTCTTTCTCCCTCAATCTCCCTTCCGGTTCTCCCTACTGTGGAGTGAAGTCGATAAGATGCTATGGTCATTGTGTTGTCTAACCGACAAACGTATTTACACGGAGTAACCGGAGTAACCGGTGTAGAAGTTATACTACAGTTGAGTGGCTTCGTTATCCTGCGGTAACTGGATCGCTCCTCTTTGACGACTACTGCAATGGCGTCCATCCCTCAAGCTTCTTCGTCTAATCTCGTCCGAACGTGCTTCAACTGTGGGCAACCGGGCCACTTTGCCCAGTTTTGTCCACGCCCACCTCGGAATTCGGTGTCTAATCCCAATACTGCCATTGTCCCTGCACAAGCACCACTATTAACCCTTCCTGATGCTAATTCTTCTACATCATATCCTTCCTCGTCTTACCACAATAGCTACGGACAGTATGGTAGTGGTGGTGGCATCAGACGAATCAACGACTGTGCAATATCGAAGGCACGGTGTCCAAAGGGAAGGTGCGCCACGACATGAAGGAACATGAGAAGAAAGAAGAACAAGAGCGGCCAGCCCGTTTGAAGGAAGAAGAGGAAAGGAGAGAGAGGGAGAAGACGGAACGTGAAGAATTTCAGAAGCAGTTAGGAGACACGATGAATGCAAGATTTGATTCGCTGTGTGAAAAACAGAGACAATGGAAATGAGGTGGAGAAATTGAAGACTGAGATGGAGAACCTAAAGTGTACGCAATTTATGAGGGGAATGTCAGTCAACGCTTGCATCTCCTTGCCAAAAGCGGCGTTAAGGAGGGCGCTTGAGTTTGAAGAAAACATACGTAAGAGACAAGAAGAGACAGAAAATAGGCTGGTGCGAATGAAAGAAGAGATTTGTTCGCTGAGGTAAGAGAAAGATGATGTTGTCATGAATGCGAACAACTGGAAGGCTGAGGCTCTGCGCCCCGGGCAGAAAAGGGGAGGGATTGCGATCGAAACTACTCCTACGACACAGGGGAGGGTAAGACCAAGATGCACCGGGCAGAAGCGCTGAATGGGCAGCGAGAGAAGGAAACGGGGATCGAAAAGCTTAAAGACAAACTTGCAAGGTTGGAAATGGAGAGACAGCAAAATGTTCTGGGTACAAACCTGCGAACCAGGATGGAAGAGGCTGCTAAAGCACCTGAGAGCAAAGCGGACAAAGGCAAACGACCCATGGAGCAGGAACGGCAAGTGGTGCAAGCAAACAACAAGGAGGCATTTATTGCGAAAAATCGACAGGGGTTGAGACCACTGAAGAAGAACGAAATTATGGTTATTTGTGTTGAGGAAGGTATCGTCTATACTACGTTGGATCGTGCAAAGGAGGACAACATCAACAAACGAGTGGAAAAAGTCTTTGGAGGCGAGCCTCTGAGAACTGGCATGACTATCGATGAGGTGTTTGAAAATATATATGGAGGTAGTCCTGGCCTCGGAAGAACCGGCGGAGAGGACACGTCCTCTTAGGTTCGGTCCCGAACATGACTTACCTTTGGCAATTGGTAAGATGGTGTGCGAATCGTCGGTGCTCTGAGTTTGCTCTTCTTCGGTGTAGGTTGGTGAACTTGAATCGTGTTATGTGCTTAGCTGTTTTTTGTTTAATTCTGTCACAGCAGATTTCGTGGGCCTGTAAAGTTAGTGATGATATATCACGATTGATATCTGATAAGTTCGACTTTGATAAATGTGATAGACCGTTGGTGTATATGCTTGTTTCACCTTGGTGTCGGCATATCTACGTTTGGAGTACCACACATGACTTATTTATTTGTTGGAATAAGCATGTTTATAGGGCCATCAATCCGAATTTGATTGGTAAGGGAAGTCGAAGCGAGAAACTCTATCGCTGGTTGAGATGGGGTGGCGTGCATAATTATGTAGCGATCCCAATTTGTGTGTGCACCGAGGATGATGTCGAACAATGTGAAAAGTTTTTTATTTGTAATTTATCGTGGCACAGAACAGTCGAGATAAGCTATGTAGGTAAAAAAAAACGTGAAAACGATTGCGAGAACGATTGAGAGAAAAGAAGAGAACGAACGAAGATGTTGACGTTATCAGACATAACAAGTCGCTGATTATGTTTCATTCGAGCGTGGGGATTGTATTGCACGAGTTGGGTCGGATTTTGAACTATTGTTATAAGCATGGGCGACATCGATGTGATGTTGTACGTCGGGATGAAAGTTCGATGGTAGAATCGTGGAAAGTGTTAAAGAGGTGTTATGGGCATCGACTGTCTCATACGAATTCGGGGTGGGTCAGTTTCGACGGTCTAGGGAATGATTGAATTGTGGATTGGTACTTATATTTGTTACGATTTAATTGTTTTTATATCAGTTATTGGAATGTAAGGAACCATTGAGACTGTGTTTGAGTTATCCAATCAGTCATCGTGAGTTGTGTGGTTGGGATCTTGATCAGTTGAATCATGCATATACCGCAATCCGTTGTTTCACAGAAAAGCGGACTAGGGCTAGGCTGAGGCAATTTTATCATGAACTGCACACAGTGTAATGTGCAGCTACGAAAACGAATAGTCGTTCGAGTTGTGTAGGATCAGGATTTGTGTAAGACATCAATTCGGACAGTATGTGATGAGTTTATCAGGAGGTTAAATTTTTCAAAGGCACGAAAGGATTTAGCGGTAAGACGAATGAGGGTGGTATGGTGTAAGAATAAAACAGTGGGTGACGTGATACACAACCATCGTAGAGCGGCACGTGAAGTGGATGTAGTGTGTTCATGTAACTTGTGACTTCTCCTTTCCACGATCTGGTGGTCATGTGGCTTTTCGAATGAGTGAGGTGTCTCTCTTTCCTTATGTGATGAGAAACTCTAATAATATTCTACAACCTTCTCGACGCTCAGTCTCGGGACTAAGGTGTCATCTTCTA